CAAGCTTTATGCCCCACTGTATCCTATGGCAGCTGGCTCTGTGATTAACTGCGCCGTGTGGTGGCTCTCATCAGTGGCTGTGACATGCCAAGCAGGTAATGTTAGAAGTCTTATGTTGAAGCAGAGTTTAAGAGTGTGTTTAGTTAACCCAGGTTAAGGTCTGCAGTTTCTCTCTCCTTTCTCTGCCTCCCCCCAGCATAACTGGTCACAGAAATTTGTAGGTTTGGGGTCTGGTGTTTCTTGTTTTTTTGAAACCTTTGTCTTCATAGAGCTGCTGGTGTTAGATACTCCACAGCAAATACGGATGCATATATAAAATAAGTGGCAGCGCATGAGAAAAATAAGTCACAGCTCTATCACAGTGGCTTTCCAGGTGGGATTTGTGCAGTCCCTTGTTGCAGGACTGCCAGCTCTGACGCAGGTAATGAAGCTTAATTTTAGAGCACAACGAGTGTTTCATCCCATGAAACCATGACAGTTGGTCCCAGATCAGGCTCTGGATTCGTCCCTGACCCTTCGCATTACCACAGTTAATGACCTATAATAATATTTTAACCATGACTGAACCCCAGGTGATCAGCGGAGCTCATGGTTCACTCAAGCCACTGACCCCTCCTACAGCCCATGACCCACCTTGGCTGTGCCCCCTAAGCTTCCTTTTGGAAACCAACACCTCTCCTTAGACACAGTCTTTCCTGTAAACAACTGAGCCCTGGCTGTTACTGCAGCTACTGCAGCCATCCAGAGCCATTACCAGTGTTTAAAGAGAGCTTGAATTACTGATGGATGGGGCACTCCAGCTCACAGTTGTCTTTTGCTGTAACTCTGCTGGTTTTCACAGCCCCAAGGGTTGTTTGTGTTCAGCTCTTCCAGGGACAGGGCAGAGCTGTGGGGGTCACGGGAGGATCCTTCCAATGTGCCGCGGACCAGACCCAACCAAGAGTGAGAAATAAGAGAGCTGAGAATAACAAGTGCACAACCAAGATTAGAAATACAGTCTTTCTAAACATTGTTAATGACACATTCTGCATCATCAAAGTGACCATCTTTAGCTCAACTTGAGGAATATTTCATCTTTTTTCCCCCTTTCTCACACTGTTGCTCTCTGCTCCACGCTTTTCACAGGGACTGATGTCTTCCAATTCCATCCTTTCACATTTTTTCCCCAGATGCCTGCAGTACAGTGTGAATAAGAGCAGCCCTGGTTAATAGGGACATTCATGGAGGTGCTCATCTCAAAGCATCTCCTGTAAGGCAGCCCTGTCTTGTCCATAGCCCCACACCTGTCCTTTGTCACAGCTGGGCAGCCCAGACCTGGAATCCAATCCCAGGAGGGAGGTTATTTTATCTTCAGAGAAAGGCAAACAGAACAGGCACTCATCGATCTTGAGAAAGAAACATTAGCCAAGTCAAACACACACAAATGTCTGAAGCAACAGGATGTCCATGATGTAATGCCTGGATTCACCTTGCCAGCTCCTCTTACATCAAGGACAGTCTTAGAGGGAAAGTGAAGAGACATGAGCACAGGGCGAAGGATTTGTAAAGAACATTGACCAAACCTATTCTGAATCAGAGCTGGTTGCTCGCAACAGCTCAGCTTTAGTGCTGGCAGCCTCCACACAGCACTGCCAGACCCAGTAAGTCACCACCAGCTGCCCAGTGTGTCCACTTGAGCTGGCTCCCCTCCAGTGGGCTGTGTCCTACTGCCTTGTGCCATTCAGCCATCCACTAGGATGAGTTCACAGGGACTGCTGTGAGAAGTTTTTCCTTTTTATCCTATGGAAGTGCCCCCAGGGAGACGGGGATCTGGCTGGGAGAAGAGCCCAGGCAGCTCCAGCTGCAGCCAGCTGTGGCTTTGTGAGACAAAAGCACCTTGGCAGAAAGAGAAAGAAACAGCAGGGCACCAACCCTTCCCCACAACACACGCAACTTTGTGCTAGCATTGATGCAAGGACTCCAGCAGAGAAGCTACTGCTGACAAACCTGCCTTTATCCAAGGCTATGAGCTGTATTTTTAGTTACTGGCTCAAACCCTCTCGCTTCTGGCCAAAGAGCATGTAGGAGGGATGGATGTAGCCACCCTCACACTATCCCTTTCTGGAGCCAGCTGACAGTTGTCCCACATCACAGAGTTTGCTCAGGGCAGCAATGGGATGTCATAGGGACAACAGGAAAGGATGCATTCCAGGCTTAGCTATAAGGCCATCCATCACAAGTTGGGAAGTTGTTTTGCCCTTAAAGTTCTTAAGATAAGTGCAACACAAAATAACCTTTACAGTCAGAGGGCAGTGAGCCCTGGCACTGCTGCCCAGGGAAGTGTGGGTGCCCCATCCCTGCAGGTGTTCAAGGTCAGGTTGGATGGGGCCCTGGGTAGCCTGAGCTGGCAGCTGACACCCTACCCATGGCAGGGGGTTGGAGCAAAATGGCCTTTAAGGTTCTTTCCAACCTTAACTGTTCTATGATTCTAGGAAAAGTAGCCTTGGCTTCTTAATTCTACATCCCAACACACAGTGCTCAGCACATCTGAGCTAAGCACTGTGGCTACAAGCACCAGCAGTGATTTAACTCATAAACATGCATGGACAGTCCAGTGGTCTCCATAAAGATTACACTGGTCTGGATTGATGTCAATCATTGATAAAGGCTTACACCAATTTGAAATCCAGTTACCTGGCCAAACAAAAGCCAAAAGATTCACTACTCCTTTGCAAAATCTAGCTGCCAAATGTAGGAATCCCCTTGAGCACAGCCAAGAAAGGCAGCAGAACCTGGGTCCCAGCAACCCTTGGTCTTTTGAAGTCTCTGGTGCTTCCCAGGTCTGGCTGGCAGAGATGGCACTGGGAGGAATCGTGGTCCTTCCCCTGAAGCCAGTTAGAGGAATGGGAAGAACAGACATAATTAAAAAACATTGGGGGAAAAACTTAATGGAAAGACTGCAAAATGGGTGGTGGCTTTTTTTGAGTTGCAAGTCAAAGTTCTGTTTGATCTACTCATTTACCAGAGCTAGTTCAGAGAGCTAACTACTGGCATGGACCTCAAAAGTTTATTTCCTTGCCAGTATTCCCTGGCTTGTATTACTTCCTTTTAACAATAACACCATAAAATTAGACCTTCATTAATGCTGAATTCCACTTTAATTCACAGAAGAGAGCTAAGAGACCTGATGTGACCATCCAAGCACTGACTAAAGCAAATACCTCAGAGGATGCTATAATAGTCAGCACCTCACAGAGACGTGTCATTTTGCAATGATCTGCCTCATTAAGCCTGGCATGGTGGACTGACCATCCCTGCTCAGATGCCTTCTGATACCTGAAACGGGTGCAGGTGGGAGGCAACACACATCCCATAAGATTTCCCTTTACCCAGCTGGCCTTCTGCTTCTGGTTAAGAACTTTTAGCAGTCATTTTTAATGCCAAAACACAATGTTTCTCAGCTGATAGGAGAACTGGATGATTCCAGTGGGAAATGAGAATTTGTTTTAGAGAGCTTTTGCTAGAAGTAAGCATTCAGTAAGTGGGGGGTCTTCCCTCCCCTTGCTGTTTCTGAAGAAGCAGAAGTTCATGTTTCCTTTTGGAAGTTTTAATTATGTCAGTAAAATACAGTTTGTTTTTAAGCTGGATTTTTTTAGTTGATTTGGCTGAAGTGGCACATTGCAGCCTCTTGGGCTTCAGTAGTTTATTTTTACTCTTTTGAAAAAAAAGAAAAAAAAAAGAATTAGAAAAAGCACACCTAAATGGGAGCCTTTGTTAGCAAAGGTCATTAAAAGTTCTGGGGAAACTTTTGTCTAATTTAGAATTGTTCTTAAATAACACTGTGTTCCTGTTCACGTTTAATTTCTCACTATTTTATTTACATTCTGCACCATGGACTCCAGCACGAGACATGAGTCAGCCCCAACCCTGGAGATATTAACAGCCGTTCTTGAATGTGCTACCAGAGATTTGTGAGCACTGCCTTTGAATCAGCAAACATCTGAGGTGCAGGCTTTTAAATGGAAACTTTCTTCAAGATATCTCTATTTAGGATCAGCTCTTTGCAAATTTGCATTATCACGATCTATTCTGACAACTGTTCCCATTTCCACTGAAGGTGGAAAATGTTTCTAAGCAGTTATCAAGAAATATGTAAAACACAGACGTGTTGATGAGAGTAATTCAATTATTCTTTATTACATAAAATCATAGAATCATTAAGGTTGGAAAAGACCTCTAAGATCATCCAATCCAACCACAGACCCACGCCCTCCACCCCCACTGACCGCATCCCTCAGTGCTGTATATTGGCAGCTCTTGAACACCTCCAAGGACGGTGGCTGCACACCTCCCTGGGCAGCTGTGCCACTGCATCACCGCTCTTTCTGAGAACAAACATTTCCTCATATCCAACCTGAGCCTCCCCTGGCACAATTCAAGGCCTTCACCTCTCGTCCTATTGCTGTTACCTGGGAGAAGAGGCCAACCCTCACCTCAGCACCACCTCCTATCAGGGAGCTGTAGAGAGCAATAAGATTTTCTCTGATCCTCCTCTTCTCCAGACTGAACAATCCCACCTATGTATGTTTATAGATACTTAATAGTCCAGTTTTTCTCTTTGGAAATCTACAGAAGGCCAACATCTGACACAACACATTCCCACCAGGGACAGCCCATAGTGATGCTCCATTTCTGACCAGAGAGCAGAACTGCTCTAAGTGCCCTGGCCCCTCTGCACCGCACAGCCCAATGCTGCCTGAGCTGAGTGAGAAATCACATGAGCCTGGCTCAGAAGGGAGAAAAAAACCTCTTTCCTTTAGAACTCCTGCTTTCTCATAGCCTGCAAAAAAATAAAGACCTGAAATCAACCCACCGACCCGGCAGCAGCCAGCCTTGTGCTTTATTCACGTGCCACGGTGGAGCCAGCCCAAGTGTAGCACCAGGCAGAAGGAGCCAGCAGTAATTCTGTGTGTTTATTTTCCCTGGGTGTGTGCAGCCAGCTGCCAAGCAGCGTTGCTTACCTCATGGGCATACAGCAGCAGCGTTGTGAGCCGGGCTGGGGCAGGGGGAAGGCTCCAAGGTTGGAGGTTCAGGAGGTTTTGTGTCTTCCTTAGGGTAGAAAAATCCAGGCGAGGTTCCCAGCTTAAAAAAAAAAAAAAAGAAAAAAAAGTAATAAAAATTGTAATTATTCCTACCAACCCCAGTGCTTCTGACCTCCGTGGTTCTGGAGGTACCAAGTGAAATGAAGATTTATTCCACAATTAAGTATTTCCACCCCAAGCCCCATGCCCTGTTAGAAGCTCTGGTCCATCACCAAGCTCTGCAGGGCCTCCAAAGGCTGCTATTCAGACACAGCCCTGAGCAGCCTCCAACCTGTGGATGCTCTTATCCCCGTCCTCCATCCCCTTCCAGACAGCAGTCTGTCAGAAGAAAGAAGTGTCCTCATGGCCTTCCTTCCCCTCCAGTCTGCATTTTTCATCCCCACGTCTTTTTCAACATAGAACAGCTCACTGCCACAAGAAAACTTCTTTATTTTCTTCCTGACAATGGTCCTTGGAAGCCCTCAAAGCCATCACTTCTCTTACTTTGATTCATTCCCTTTCTCCTCCCCTGGCTCTCATTTTTCCCTGCAGCCCACTGTTTGTTCTGCCCCTTTGGCTTCCCCATTTGCCTCTGAAAAAGGAAGAATAAGGCAGTAGAGAAGGGATGGGAAGAGAAAAGCAGAAACGATTGAAGTCACAACTGGGGACAGCTTGGGACCAGATTCCTTTCTTAGTGTTATTCTTGCTCAAAATGTCAATAATTTTATCATTATGTTCAATTAATTTTCAATCAGCTCTGTCTAATCTTGTTGTAGGAGGGGAACTAAGAGATGGGTTGGACAAAAAGAACCCAAAGAAAATGATTATTCTTTTTTAATCTCCATTTTTAAAACCAGCTGCCATCCTCACAACCAAGCAGAGCTCTGCAATCCTTTCCTCTGGGGTTTCTCACAGGTGTTTGGTCTCTGCTACGTTTCCATGACTTTTTATTAACTGCATTCATTCTTCTGTTCCCATATTTCAGGTCTCAGGGCAGGGGTGGTGCACTTTCAGGATGCTCACATTGATTGGCAGTGTGCTCCCAAGTACTGTGCTGCCCAGAGATCCTTCATTGCTGCCAGGGTTCCAACCCAGAGCTCTGGGGTATTTGAGATCTCAATTATTTATGTGATCATGCTGTGGGTTAATGCTGACTGACACTAAAACACTGCCTAGATTTAGGTTCATAAAATTTTTATCCCCGCTATGAACTGCAAGTCTTTCTCCAATTTCATTTAAAGGAAACAGAGTATCGAAAAGCCTACTGAGGAATTCATGAGCAACTTGCTGCAACCTCGCTTCTCCTCCTAGACAAATCCTGGGACTTGATTACCATAGCAACATATCATAATTTTAATTCCCTTCCTGATTGCCCCTGCTCAGAGCCCAGTACACCTGCTTGCCTTCCTAGGAGCTTGCCATGCAATTTGGGGTGGGTGTAGAGCGCGTGGCACCTGCTCCTTATGGCTCACGAAGGACCCAGGAATGGACATGGCATCATTTTTGGGGTGAAATACCCAGAAAGGGTCAATAAAATTCAACAAACCCAATGCAGTCAATGCTGATGCTCTGACGTGCGGGCATCACAAAGGTGCAGATTGATTGATGGGAGATCCTTGGAAGGAATGATTTTTGGGGGGTTTTACACATGGCAGCTTCCAGAATTGCAATGGAACTGGGAACACAGTGAGCAGTGTCTACGAAAGTGCAGCATCTCCAGCAGTGACAATCCCATGCTTTGAGATGTATCTTATTTTAGGATTACAATCTCTTTGTCTCGCTGGAACAAGGTGCAGGCACCAGAGATGAGTGGATGTTTCTCAACTCATCCACTGTAACTGTACAAATACACCACAATCACTGAGAAGGAGCTACCATAGAACATCCCGAGTTGGAAGGAACCCAGAAGGATCATCCAGTCCAACATCCTCACCTTGCCAAAACTTAGGGATGGACTGTGCTGAAATGTGGGCAGGACCTCAGCCCAACACCATCAGAATGATGAATTCAAGCACATAACATTAATGGCTTGAGGCAGAAACCCCTTGCTCATAGACAAGAGCCCATCAGGGAGCTCTGTTGGGTCATAGCATCTGGGTACTTGTTTCAGTCCATTTCATATATAGAAAAAAAATAGTCACATCAAAAATCTAAATGGCATAAAAGGAACGTGGGCACATATTTGTTATGGGGCAGACTAACAAAGTGCTCCATTCTGATCAGTACTGACAATGTGGTTCTGTGCATCAGGAACCCATCCCTGCCAAAAGGGCCAGCAGCAGCGTAAACCTGCTATGTTCTGTGAGATACGCAGTTATGTGTTGAGCACTTCATAATGCCATGCACATATATGTACATATAACACACAATACATACTATGTATCACATATAATATGTAACATACAACATGCCCAATTTTGTTGCAGGCCCCCAGAGAGCCACAGCTCATTGAAGCACAAGGAAGACGCAGGAGCTTCGCCTTTTCCTAAGGCAGAAATGAACGAATGCGGCGCAGAAAAGAGCAGATTGAAACTGTGGCAGTTGGGTGTGTTCCTCCACCTTGAGAGATCCACTTCTTCCTATTGCTGAAGGGTTAAAAATTGGAATAGGAACTGTTTTCCTTCTTTCTCTGCACTATTTTATTTAGTTTCCCTTTCATTATCGTTTTCCTTCTTCTAAAATAAAAGTAATCTAAGTAATTACAATCATAAAATGGATGCGAGCAAAATGGGTACTGCGGGATTTATAAAATACAAATTTCCCTTTTCTGGGAAATGCAGTCTCCTCTGCACTTAAGCTTTTCAAGCCCTGCCCAGCTCTGAAGGTGGCACAGACCCCGTAAGGCTTGTAAGCCCCAAAGAAGAAATCACTTAAATATCCAGCCCTCCCCAGGACCCACTTCAACACATCAGCAGAGTTACAGCGTGCTTCAAGCACACTAATAGGGATGCTCCCTGCACTGCAGCAGGGAAGAACTGCCATTAGGAGCAAGTCAGTGGCTGCCCAACAGATGAATTGGGTTCCATTGGGACACACTACCATGACCTCCATGGGAAATGGAGCAGCTCAGCTCACTGAGCTCACACCTAAGGATTCGCCACCGCGCTGAATACCCAACCTACATAAGGTCACCCAGCACCAGGCAGAGCCAGCTCCTTCCCCAACAAAGGAGCCCATTGGGTTTTCTTTTTTCATTTTACCTTTTTTTTTTTTTTTAAACTTTTCTGAATATGACCCAAGAAAAACCTTCCTTGATGTTAACCAAGCAGTTATTGGCAAAATTTCACCAGCGTGAAAACAAGGAATCTTTCTTACAGGCTGAATGCAACCAAATTGCCCCAGTCCTGTCAAGCCCTCTTTTCTTTTCACCATTCCTTTATTTATTTTTGAACTGATAACTGCTCTTTGCATTTACATCAGCCAGAAGGGGGGATATCCACTCTGACTTAGGGAAGCAGAACATCAGTTATCAGTCTGAGACACCATGTAACCTCCTTTAGAAATTAACAACTGCTTCCAAACTACTGGAAAATCCTCAGAGGAAGGCAGGACCGATCACTGGGCCCCTATCAAAGAGCTGCATTTCTTCCATGATCTGTTTTCCACAGTAGCACCAGAGCTAGAACTATGTGGGAGATGGCTGTGTTTGGAAATGTGGTGTCCCAGATACAATTCAGCATCTGAAATGGGCTCCTATACATCCCAAATCATTAAGTTCATGGTTAATTATTCAAGTATGGACCAAAATTTTCCTTACACATCCTTCTAGGGATGTTATTTTGCCCAGAAAAATCAAGTGTTTTTGAGTTGATGCCTCATAGACACTGATTTCCTCAACAGCAAGAAAAAAAATCTTCATCACCTTAAATGAGCTCAGTTCATTTAAAAAGAATTTACAGTCTGACAGATCAACTTTTTTTCTTACCAGTACTTCCTAGAAATGAGGGATGGAGAAGATAAACAAAGGATCAGGGAGATGAACCAAAGATCAGATTTTACCTTCCTACCCCAGTGGGAAGCCCTGATTCCACACTATCTGACACCCAGGTACAGAAGCAATGAGTTCTGGCTTACCTGGAGAACTTCCAGACCTAAAACCCTGATTTTCTTCCCTTGCTGACCCAAAACCACAGTCAAGTAATGCAGGATCAGCTCCTGCACACGCACTTGTTGCAGACCTTGATGAAATTCCGGGAAGACAGATGTACCATTGGCAGCCCTGTACAACAATGTACATTTTTATGCTAAGTACATTTTTTTTTAATGTGCTGTTTTTTTGGCAACGTTACAGCAAAGTTAATCAGACCTTTCATTGCTTCAACCGGCTTTAAAGGATTTGTAATATTATACTCACTTCTTAGAGAGCAGAAGGAAATTGTTTGTCTGATTCAGAACCTGTTATTTATTGTGCATTAAGAGCACAATCACCTAACGCAGTCAACAGCAGGATATTTCATCCGTGCTTTAGGGAGGTGGGAGTGGAAAGCCTCTACTCTGTCCTACCAAGTGACATAAACCTACTCTGATCTCAGAAGCCACCTCCTGAATACTAAGGAGCTGGGACATAATGGCTTTTAAAGAATATAGTTTCAATTAGGTCATTGGTTTCAAACACAGGGTGTACTAAATTAGTAACATTTGGTGGTGAATTTCTTTGAAGTTCTCATTAATTTTGGTCTTGGATTTGAACTTTTCTTGGCCATGTTCCTTATAGAATTTGGATCCCGGTTATGTCAAAACAACTGATTAGCCCCACAGTTTGAAGGCAAGGGGGATTAGGTAGGGCGGGTGTTAGATTTCATGAAAGGCCTATTTACCTCGTCGTTTAGCATGACCAAATGGGAGGGCAGCCAACAGGGGCTACACGCTGGAAAAATTCCAGTGCTCCCAGCTCATTTGGGATCTCTGCTGCAAATAGCAGCGCTGCGCTTGCGATAGCAGCCACTGGTCAGATCCAGCTCCATGGTGGGACATTCCCTGACCCATGGGCTCTGCTGCCCAGACGGGCTGCCACTTCTTCAGCTCCTGGGAAGGCAGCGAGAAAGAGGAAGTTCTTTAAGGAATTCTTCAGATGGTGCCTTCGTCCTCATGAAGGGCTCAAAGTAAGCTTTTCCCAACAAGTCAATAGAACTCTTTCCATCAGCTCCAACGAGTTCAAAACCAGGCTTTTGAACAGATCAGAATCACCAACATGGAGAATTGCTAAGGAGCTCATGAGGATGCTCTGACACAGCTCCTATCTAAAGAAGCAATAAGTTTAATTCCGGAATTAATGAACCTTAGCCCAGAGGAGAAAATACACGGTGACTCACGGCAGCAATGAAGCTTGGGAAACCCTCAATGGGACTTGCTGCAGTGAGTGGAACCTGCAACACACACTTGTGTCCATGGTGCACAACTCCTTCCTGAGGGCTCTAATTAATCACAGGACAAAGGAATGAACCCGAAGATCACAGCCCGGTGTCATGGATCTGGCAAGCAGAAGGCTCAGAGGTCACGTGAAGAAAAATGCTCTCACTGAGAGCAGGCTGTGAGACAAGACACTGTTGGTCCCCAGGGGACACTGATCTTGAGCCGAGATGGCGCATCAGATTTGGAGGGTGCAAGGCCAGTGTTATTTACAGGTCTACTAGATGCATGCAGGCTTGGCACTGCTTTGAGCCCTCCCTGGGCAGCCTGTGTCAGTGCATCACCACTCTTTCTGAGAATAATTTTTTTCCTAACATCCAACCTGAACCTCTCCTGGCACAACTGAAGGCCATCAGCTCTCATACTATTGCTGTTATCTAGGAGATGAGCTGATCCCCCCCGTGCTTGCTCAAGAGCTCTTAGGATAACGAATGGTGTTCAGCCATAATAACAAGGTGTAAAAGTGAATAAAACTCATCTTTTCCTCAAAAGGAAAAAAAAAAAAAAAAAAAAAAACAACCACAAACATCTTGACACTGTGCTTTCACTTGAGAAAATGACTGGTTGTTATTTCCATCTCTAGACAGTGCAGCATCACTGCTCACAAAGTTCTCTCTTACACCAAATCACTGCAACTGTCCCAATGCAGACTTTGCTCTCACCAGCCCCATGCACACGCTCAGCTTTCAGCATGGATTCAACCACTCCAGCAGGGAATTCTTAACACAAATAGCACTCCTACACATGCAGAGGTGTTTGTAGGATCACGGTCACACAATTAATAGAGAACTAACTTTAATAAGCCTAATTAGGGTCGCTCTCCTAGGGTGCAAAAAGTAACACTGATACCTTACTGGCTAGGGAGAGAGAAATCACAAGTCTGGTGGAGCTCCTTCCCACAGCCTGGTGATCTCAGAGAGGGACTTCAGCAATCCATCCTATAAAGCTGGAGCTACTGAACACTGAGCTGGATGCATTCAAGTGGAGCCATGGAAAATACTTTTTAATTCTTTGTTTCCCAGCAGTAGACCATGGCTTGGAACCATTTCCTTCACAGCTCAGAAACGTCCTTCGCATAATGAAGTCCAAGTATGGAAAAAATAACAGGGAGAACAGCAAGCGAGAGCCTTTTAGGAAGGGTCTTATCTGAAAGAAGTGGGGCCTTTTATAGTGTTTAATGGAAGTCTTGCACGGGAAAATGAGAAGACCATTGTGGCTCTTGCTATCCTGCAGACCTGCATCCATCTCTGCATCTGCAGGAGCAGCAATATCCCATTCCAGATCCTTGGACAGCAAACAGGCAGTAGGTAAATGTTTGTTCACCCTTGGAGTTTTCCAGGGTAGAGCACTTCCTCTGGCTCTTCTCGAATTAAAAATCACTCAGTGGCCTGCAACAGCTTCTCATCTGGCATATCTTGAAACCAATATTTCAGCACAATTTACAGCCTTTTGGGGAGGGGAGGACTTGGTTATTTAGTAACTTCCCCGCTCGCCCCTAGGAAGGTCAGATCCTTTTGTTCCCTGCCAGAAGAGTGAAAGCCATAAACTACAGGAGGGAGAGCGCTGGAAGCTTGTTCCTCCAACACAGTGCACCTGGATAACCCCACAAACAGCCTGCACGCAGCCAGGGCACATATGGGGAAGAGAAAACATTGTGGGTCTGATGCATCAGAGCACAGTACATGGCAGCAGTGCTGGAGGGCAGTTTAGGAGCAGAGCACTGGGACACACAGTCCATGGATTAGGCGCATTTAACTGAGACATGAATGAAATCTGCCACTTGCAACAAAGCACTCAGCAGAAGCCAGAAGGGGCTGACCCCTATTGATTTCCCTTCGCTAGCCTTTTCCCTGCTAGGAGGTGGAAAATAGAAAAGCAAAGCACCTGTATAGCACAGTGTGGTGCCCAGCACTGCTTCCAGCAGCTTCCTCAGCTTGCAGAGCACAGCAGTGCTTATATGGGCTTAAGGCAGGCTGAAATAACAACAACCATAACAACAAAACAACGCTTCCCTGGAGGTGTTCAAGGCCAGGTTGCATGGAGACCTGGGTAACCTGACCTCGTACTTGATCTGAAGGTTGGCAACCCTGCCTGTGGCAGGGGTGTTGGAACCTGATAACGTTTGAGGCCCCGTCCAACCCAAGCCATTCTAGGATTCTATGAGCAAGAAGGCAAGAATGAGAGTAACTTCCAAGAAGATCCTTCCAAGAGAGAATATTTGTTAACAACTTTTAAAATAATAGGCATTTTTAAAGGAAAAAAAAAAGAAGAAGAATTAGCAACATCATTTCCATGCTGTTTTGTGTCCGAAGTTCCCCGGGTATTTAATTGCTGATGGTTCAAACTAAATGCAATCCCAGGTAGGATTGCATTGCACGACACAGATGCTGCACTGTCTGTGTAGGGGAGATGCCTCCAGAGCAGACAAAATGTTGTTACATCCATTTTTCCCCACAGGCCCCCTTAAGTTCCCAACCAATATTTTGGGGAACGAGGTTAAAAGCCCTCAGGTCTCAGAAAACCCACCAGTGAGAGAAAGAAACACCTTTCATTGCCGCCACATTTCTCAACATTTCATTTCAGAAGAAATCGGAACAAAAACAGCAAGGAACAGCGGCCCAGGCTGCTGCCTACCTGCAGTCTTTCGTCACCCCACTGAAGTACAAAACAAACATTTTTTCTCTATCTCCCTTATTTATTCTGAACAATATTTACCCAAGAGCTGAGACTTATCTCCAGGAAGCCACCAGGGGAAAGATAGCAGAGGAAGAGAGAATCGAGGAAAGCATTTTGAACAGCCCAGGCAGAGAGGCAGTAGTTCTTAACATCACCTCCATCCCAGCTTGCTTGCTCAGCCTGACAACCAACTGCTCGTTATGCAGTCCTAACATTTCTGTGCAATTTAAACATTGGTAATGCTGCGTGGTCTCCAAGGTCACTTTCTGAAGAGCTGTCTTTAGCCCAGTGGTTGCCAGCTAGTTAGGAATAAAAACGACAATTTCACTCAAGCAAATTACATCCTGGAAGTGTATATAATACATTTCAGTGAGTGCAATGGAAATGATCAGGTGGGGGTCCGGCTAGGAATACATTAATTTACATGGGTATAAAACAGGTTCCTCATATCCAGAAACATTCCAGCTTAGTCCTCAGAAAGAGCACGTGTCCGCATCATTTATCTCTGGATTTGTAATTACAGTCCAATAAAAAAGCCTCCTCTTGCTATTGTAACTGCATACAGCAGCCTATTTAGCAGGCATTCCCTTGGATATTCTTTACCCTGCAAAAAAGAATGCATCCCTTCCACATGTATCTTGGGCACGAAAAACTCCTTTAACCTGTCACGTCGTTTCCATTATTCCATTATTTCTTTTCTTTTTTTTTTTTCTGCTGTTATCTGAAGAGGATCTTTTTCTTCCTCCATCAGCAATATGCTCCTTCTGCTTTATCCAGAAATTGCCTGGGGCACCACAGCATTCCTTTCATGACTGACTGATATCACCCAGGCCAGGCACATAATGGGCACATTCGTTTTTTGGAACTGATGGAAATGGTCTACTGGTATTTAATGTTGGCAAATGCCACAGGGTGTGCATTTGCCAAACCCACATGGAATATTTGTTCATCTTATAGGTTAGGGAAAAAAGGAGAACTTTTGACCAGGCACATTCAAACCCACCTGAAGGGAATGCACGGAGCCAGTGGTGGCATCACATGGGGTGAAGAGAAGCCCTGGTGGTGAGGGACATCCATGAGTTCATTGGAACAAGGTCCCAAAGCAGCAACAAGGTTGCCCATTGCAGAGCATATTGCTCAATGCTGCGCAGGACCGTCTCCAAATGAAACCCTCTGCATTTAATTGAGCATATATTACAATATTACATACCATGATGCATTTACTGGAAAAGTTTGAAACTTTCAGGAAACTCTAAGCACTGAAAAATAACTGCCAAGGCCACGTGCTTGCAACTTGATATCCCTGCCTTATTCCTTAGAGTCAAAGGAAGCCTTCAAGGATGCCAACATTTTTGTTCAAAGGCACTACAGCCAGACATCCTCTGTTGTAGAAGCCAGAATAATGCCACCTGCAAACCAAACTTAAATTAAAGTCATTCTACTTATTGCAGTCTGATCTCTCCTTGACAAGGGACCCACAGAGAATGGTGGAGCAATTGCCTTGACACCAAGGAAAGAAATTTTCCATGAAACAATTCCTTCATGGCAAATCTACTATACAGGAGTTTTTGAGTGAGGTTGCAGCAGAGATGGAGTGCAGCGATGGCACCAGTCGGAATTGAACGAAGCACAGGATCCACCAACAGAAAAGTGCTGGTGGAGGCACTGTCTCTCAGGCAGAGCAGAAACATTGCTCTGTGTTATAAACTCTAGGTAAGACCTGCTCCCATTATGATGGGCCGTATCCTGGTGGCTGGCAGAGGAATCTGTGAGGCACCTATAGGACATATGGGAGAAGCGTGGCAAGCACTGGAGCCAAGAGCAACAACCAGAAGAGAATAGGGCCCATGGGATGTGCTATGGTGACTATGGACACGTGGCTGCACCCTGCCAGTATAAACACCACTGGGAGGTAATGTCAAGTGTTTCCATTGGCAGGTCTTAAACCTTAAGAGACAACTGACCAACGGGAAACACATGGCTCAGGCATGTCATTGTGATTTAGACCCAACGCATTCCTAGATCTGCATGTACTGCCCATTTTTATGGTGTCAACAGTCTCCACACGTTGAAAGCTTCAAACCCAAGGAGGGGAATAGGAGCAATTTGTCAGGAGCTCACGGACACAAGATTAAAACCTAAAACATTAAGAGCCTTCTGGGGTTTGGGCTTCTCCCCCACTTCCTCTCTCACCGAAATCAGGAAGTGCAAAGAAACAACTGTGAAAATAGAGCAGTTTTTTTTTTTTTTCCAGAAAGTTAAGTGAACTTTTTGAACCTTCTGTTCCATTCCCATGTAGGGCAAAGATCCAAGATAGTTATTCCTGTATTTAAGCAAGGTTCGGTCATCCTTAGTCATTAAGGGCACTAGATCAAGAATGAATTTTATTGTACCAGTAACACAATCACAGTGGACCTTCATAAAATTTAACCACATAGAGAAGTGGGTTGTTTGAGATCTGCCATTCCAGCAGGCTTTATTGCGTTTATATATAGAATCATGAAAAATAAATTAAGAATGGGGATGACCCTTTGTCTACCTAGGGGCCCAGAAAAGATGTTTACCTCCGATACAGTTGGAAAATTAGCATTTTATAGGGCCTGGGATGCTGCCTAACATACAAAATACTTTAAAATTCTGTAAATAATGTAAGTAAATTAACAAGAGATAGTGACTGCAATGAATAAAACATAAGTTAAGTACCTTTCCGTTTCCCTTGAAGCCTAAAGGAAAAAAAATGACTAGATTCAGCTCTTTGGGAAAAAAAAATTGCAAGTACTCATAGTGCCAGAAGGATTAGAGAAAGACCAGAAAGTCAATCTGAAGACTTTTCAATGGAATGAGAAAACCAGGCTCCTGTGGCAATGAGGAGTCCCTGGGGTTGACACAGTTGCTTCCAGGACAGTGTAACCCTTGGGATGTGCAGCAGCATCAGGTGCTCTGGTGTCTCCAGGCTACTGAGAATACATCTTCATCCATCCTCCTCACCCTGTTCCCCCTTGGCTGTTCCCTGGGATCCCTGGCAGAGGTGGCTCCTTGGGTTGAACACTTCTGCAGGCTTTTGGGATGACTTTGGAGAGGAAAATGCATTGCCTATTGGCTAAACAAAGCACATGTCTTGAGGAAGACCTGTGAGGTGAAATGCATGCCAAATGGTGAGGCATTTGGTTGACACAACCTGTATTTTTACATTTACTTTTGGGATCTGGCCTCGAAGCCCCAGCCTGATGTCCTTGGCCCAGCCAGAGCAGGAGCCTTGCAGCAGCACGCCTGCTCCAGGGCATGAACTTTATCTGATGGGCTGAAAACGTGGCTGCAAGAGCCTCTCCCAGGATGTTTTAGCTTGTGAGCCAGATGAACACCTGGAAGCAAAGAGAAGCCTGAAACAGATTAAATGAATTGGACAGACTTTCTCATCTTGTTAACATGCTGCAGGCTTCATTTATGTTTTGGGCAAGGTTTCAGAGTGGTTCTTTATTTGATTCAAATCAGATAGCCCCTCACAAATCCTAAACTCCTGCTTGTATCAGCATCACCCAGATGCTGTCCCTACAGAAAATGGTCTTTGTGACAAAGGCATCTGACAAATTCAAACAGCACAGACAGGCTGGGGCTTTGCTGCATGTAAAAGCCAGTAGAACATTCCACTTTGTCTCCTCTTTGCCACTCTCCACATCTAGTTTCACTGCCCCAGATCACAGGAGGACTCCAACCATGGCAGCTTCCAGATCCTGCGTTAGGACATCCAGCTGCAACCTGCACCAGGACAATAACCATCAACACCTCCTCTCAGAGCCCCAACCAACAGCCACACCACGTGCCCTGGTTGGGATGCACCAACCCAGCCAACAGCTTTTAGTAATTTTCCTCTTGAGCAGCAACTTTCCTAACTCCCTATTTTTGGAAGTGACTCAGAGGTCCCTGTGGGGATGAGGTTTTTGCAGCCATGTCATGTCTGCAGGAGATGCACGGCAAGGACAGGAATGCCCAGATGACACCAGCAATGACGTACGCACACCGCCACAGAACTCTGCTTTGAGCCACCAGCCCCAGCACTCACAAACACCTTCTCTAAGACCACACAGTGCTGTAGAAGATACAAGTGACCTTAAAATTTAGTTGAGTGACCGTGTTCAATCAAGAGGAAGGACCCAAGACAGCAACACCAGGTGTTTGAGAAAGACAAGGGTCATTGGCCTTCAAAGTCTCCATTTATGGTGCTCCCAGACCAAGGGTTTCATGATCAGCAGAATCCCAGCCTGTTTAGCAAGTAAGAATGAAATCCTCCAAGGGAAATGTAGCTTCTTCTCTTGTTCCTGCTGCTGCTGCGGACCCAGTATTACATTGATTGTTGCCATGTGGTTTGTGCTGACAGTATGAAAACACGCTCGGCGCAGGCATTAAACTGCTAACAGCAATTACCAAATCAGGCAAATGGAAGGATTTTTATCAAGCACCATTACTGTCAGATCTGCCTGTGTGCAATGCCTTCTAGCAAGCAGATAAATCACTGAGTTATATGGCTGGGAGGGCACACATCCCCACTGCACTGCTGGGAGCTTGGCTCATGGGAAGGGGAACAGAACAGAGCCTGCACTGCCCTGGGCATGAAGGAAGAAAAGTTTGGGTTGTTTATTCCTTTTGCAATCAGTTGCATGGTACAACCCATTGCGCCTCAGTTCTTCTAATTTAGAATGGAAACAAGCCAGAACAGCTTCCAAAAACATAGCAAAAGAAACAACCCAACAAGCATACATCTTAGAGATGCTCCAATATCAGGAGCTGGCAACTGATCTTATTTCCTTCACAGTAAAAGAACCAGAGAATCATTAAGGTTGGAAAGAACCTCTAGGATCATTTAGTCCAACCCCAGCAGACCCCCACCATGCCCACTGATCACATCTGCACAGTTCCTTAACACCTCCAGGAATGGTGACTCCACCACTTCCCTGGGTAGCTGTGCTACTGCATTTCTCTCTTTTTAAGAATCTTTTCCTAACATCAAACCTGACCAACCCCTGGTGCAGCTTGAGGCCATCACCTCTCATCTTGTTGCTGTTAACTGGGAGCAGGGGCTGACCCCCAGCTCTACAAATTCATTTCAGGGAGCTGCAGAGAAATCTGCTTATTTCTTTATTTGATGATTTCTGGCAAAAGTAGCCGCAG